ACGTGCAAGTAGATCTCTACGATCTTGGGGTCTTGCTGACACAAATCCAGCACGGAATTTAGCAGCTTGGTTCCTGGATCTCACACGAAAACGAAGAAATTCATGAGCTTGAGAAAAGAGAGAAGAAATTTGGAAATCCTTCCTATCTTACCAATTCCCAGGTTCCTGTATGGAGCGAGAACTCCCAGCGTCATAATGTAGATCTTCGTTTCGCTTTCTTTCTTCTCCACGCGACAGGCAATGTTTCCAACGCAAATATCGCCATAGTACGCTGCAAGTAGGAGAAAATTGCGATGATTCCAAAGAGGACGAGAGGAATCTAGTCGAAGAGCTCCAAAGAAGAGTTTTGGAGGCTTACCTAGCTTGGTGAAATCGCCGGACGCGAGCGCGTCCGTGTAGTAGTTGTCTTGATACTTGACAGGGAAGATCGCGGCATTGAGCTTCTTGAGCAGCATCATGTTCTTGTCGCGGACATTGTCGAAGGACACGGACACATCGAGCGCGGGAGCCATGGCTTCTCCGCCTCCGCGCGCCCCAAAATATTTCTAGGGTTCTTGGGGACAGAGAAAGGGTTTAAGCAAAAGTTTTAGGGTTCTTGGACGATCGATCGATCGATTGATCGATGTGGTTCAAGGCTGCGATCCAGGGCGGCAAGGCGCGGCGGGGAGGATACCTGGCGAATTTGGAGGCCACATTCGCAGCGCCGGGTCGAGAATCTGGCATGGGCTACTGGGAAGTGAGTGGCGATCAAGAAATATTTCCTCGCATTTTCTTTCATCTCATCGATCGTGATTCCAGCGGCTGCAAGGACACACGCGGATCCAGAAATGGCGGCACCAGAAATCGCGAGAATCGGCGCTGGCGGAGGAGGACGAAGACGCGGGGATCCGGGAGGAGCAGCGGCGGCGGCGGCACAGGAACCTGGCGGCGGTGGACGAGGACGAGGATCTGGAGAAGCGAATGCCGCGGCTCTACAAGTGTAGCAAGCCCAAGATCATCGCGGGCAAGAGAGAGCTCTACGATCTCCTCTTCAGCTATGGCTTCGCCAACACCCTGGGAAGAGCCGAGGCGAGCTGGGATTTCCTGGAGCTGGAGGACGAGGAGATTGTGGACTACTACGCTCACGTCGCGCGGGGGATCTTGGATTACTTCCAGTGCTGCGACAACTTCCAGGAGATCAAGCCATACGTGGACTACCACCTCCGCTTCTCGTGCCTCTTCACGCTGTCCAAGAAGTATGACGAGCACCCCCAGGTGATCTACCGCCGCTTCTCGAAGGAGCTGCTCGTCCCAGTGATCGATGGCGATGGTGAACTGGTGGAGAAGCAGGCGTATCCATCGTCGCTGGAGATCAAGAAGATGAAACGAGGCTACTCGCCCAAGTCTTGGATCGATCTCTACTGCCCCCTCAAGTGAGTGATCCTAGCTGTCCCTGGGTTGCGATCGACGAGAAAATCTGGCTGGCTGGACTGCTTGGATCATCCATCATCCATCGAGGCGGACGTAGACCAGCTGGGAGTAATCGCCAAACTGCCATGGCTCGAGCTGGGAGAGGCCCATGGCGTCGAACACTACGCTGTCCTCGTCACCCAGGAGTGGCGGCGGAGTTCTCGCGGGATCGTATGAGCGCTGCTTGCTCAATCCGGGGCTGGCCACTGGCGGGAGCTCCCAGTAGGTCTGTAGCATGGAGTCGAAGATCCCGTGGTTGCGGACATGATCCCGGTGAGTGATGTAGACGCTGGCGCGATCGGGTTTGTCGCGCATCTGGCCCCGGACACCCCACCACTCTCCTTTACTGCTGCAAATCTCCGAGATCTCGATGGCACGGTCCCAGGATTTCTTGCGCTGGGATCTCGCTGCGGCCTCGCGGCTGTCGATCGAGCAATTGTGGCCACCACCTGGATGATCGTGACGATCGTCCGGTGTGATCACAAGAAGCAAAAGTAAGAACGATGGAATGATCGATGGATTTGCTGGTTACCTGTGCTTTGCTGGTCGCAGACTTGTCGGAGAGAGTACGCCTCCCCGGAGCCAGTGTCGGAGTTATTCGCAAAGATGAGGTGCTGGAAGCCGGCGTTCCTCGCTTGGAGCACTCTATAGAAGAAGGAAAGCGAGAATCACAAGGAAGACACGACTGGCATACCTCTTGAATTGGTTCTGGTGATCATCGAAGACGAGCAGGATCTTGGCCTTGCGGATGCTTGGATTGAGAAGATTGTCCCAATCGAGGCTCCCGAAATCGTTGTCTCTCGTTACGTAGATCGTGTTGGCGTGGACGTATGATGGATGCTCCGTGCCCAGCGCGATGATCCGTGCATCTGGCACGGCCCGGCGTAGGATCCACGTCGAGTGGCCCCGGTGCCCGCCGCTCTCGATGATAATCTCCGGCTGGAGCCGCCGCGCTAAGAACCAGAGGCCGAAGGAATGATCCAGCCCCAAGGCTCCCCTCTGGTACTGTTTGATCGGCCGCGACTCGTAGAGGGGGATGAAATCCCTGAGCGCGAAGAGAAGCTCGCTCTTGCTCCAGGCCACTTCTTTCTTGGACCTATAGATGCGATCGATGGAGCGAGATTATCAAGGATTTCGACCGGATCGGTCACGATCCCGGCGCTTACTTGCAGTGCGGCACGCCGAGCAGCCCGAAATCCCAGGAAGAATCGCGTCCCGCCGCCGCGAGCTTCTCCTCGATGCAGTAGTGGCCACCCGGCGCCGATCCGAGATGCTTCCAGTCGAGATTCCACTCCAGCGCGAGCAGCAAGAGGAGCATCGCGAGCAAGATCAGCAGCGCTCGCGAGAGGAGCTCCATTCTCCTTGGACTAGGAAAAAATAAAAGAGTGGGAAAAAAATTTAAAATGGATAAGGCTCTTAACCGCCAGTGCGATTTCAAATTTTAGGGCGAAATGGGTGTCTTCGCGCGAAAGATTTTTACCCGTTTGATCTTCGTCGCCCATCCACCAGCGTTTTCATTCGGTTTCCCTGGTCTCCACTCGATACAAGAAATTTACCTTCGTCTTTTACTCGGATAAGTGAGAGGAGTATATTCTCTGCTTTTGTGTAGTTATATAACTGTGTTGATCACTCCTGCGAGCTTCCGGATCGTCGGCAAAGAAATGCCCCAGATTCGATCGGTGCGATCATGGCTGATGCTGCTCGTTGCCTCGATCTCGGGCAGCTTGCTGCTCACGGTGCTTGTCTCGATCTGCCGCGGTAGCAGGAGGTCCATCACCGTCGCCCAGGCGCCGCCATTCCCCTATGAGCCCACTTGGATCCTCTCCAGATCGAGCCGGATCAAGCTCGAAGCCAAGATTTCGATGATCAAGCTCTCCAATGATCGAACCGGATAGACCAAGCAGCTCGGGAAGCTCGCCGACATCGATTGCCTCACGCTGCCCCCTTCTTCAAACGGCGAAACGATTCAAGAATGCTGGAACGATCTTCGCCGCCGCCAATTCCTGGCGGTGCTGGACAGGATCTACGCCATGCCCGCCAGCGATCTGGAGCGATTCCAGCCCCAGCAGCACTGGCAGATCTTCGATCTCATCACGCCCACCTATGGCTGCGATTCCAACACCCTTCGCCGGATTGGAGGGCCCAACGATGGCGGCAAGTGGATCTGTGGCCCAATTCGCGTCACTGGATCCAAATGCGTCGTCTTCTCCATGGGGAGCAACAATCAATTCGACTTCGAGGAGGCGATCGTCCGTAGCACCGGACAGTGGCGTGTGAGATCCACACTTTCGATTGCACTGGCGAGTGGTCTAACCCTCACACGCAATTCCATGCCTTGGTGGCGAGGATCGAATCGATGAGAGTGGAAAAACTTTCAAGCGATTGAATACCATCGTCCGAGAGCTCGGTGTGTCGGGCTTGACCTTGCTCAAGATGGATATCGAGCATGGAGAGTATGAAGTTTTCGAGAGCTTGAAGCGAGCACCTGAGGTATCCCACGATCCCTCCTTTTCTTTCAAGTCTTTTTACCCGAATCGCTAGGAATTTCTCCCGGATCATATTCTAGTGGAGCTCCACACTTGGGAGTATCCAAGAACGAGCAAGCACTCCAAAGATTGGGTGAAAACTATCATCGATTTGGTGAGAGACATTGACGCAATGGGATATAGCTTTGCATTCCAAGAAAGAACCATTGGTTGCGGTAAGAAAATTCTCTCAAGTTCTCGTAGCGGCAGGGAATCTTGTCTGAATCTTTCTCTATTCTTTTTGCAGTGGCATGTTTTGAATACGTGCTCGTTCGGGATCGCCCTTCGACAATCAATCCCAAGGGAAATTTGAAAAACTGGACGGAGTCATAGTAGGAGTCAAATAGTCAATATTCTTAGAATATTCAGTTAATCTCGCGAAAATATTCTTGACGATGGGGGAATATGCTTTATTTGCTATTTTGCCACGTCTTACGCGGGAAGCAGCAGGAGTCTGGGATCTCTGCAAAGAACATGCATTTGGTCGTGCTTGAGCATTGTGTTGACGACAAGGCGTTGTTTCCCTCGAGCTCGGGACAAACGGTGGCTGCTCCAGCCCATGGAATTCCATTGGTTCTAACGAATGCCGGCTTGCCGCTTCCGAAATCCGTGCCAGCCATCTCCAATCGCTGCCAGCTCGAGATCATCAGATCCCAGCGGTGGAAGGAGGGCGAGATCTCTAGCGGGCTCTTGCCCGATGCAATCCAGGCCACTGTGGATAGCATGTGTTGGTGCGTGATCTTGCACTTGGCTTCTTGGATGATATTCACAGCACGGTCAATCGGTCCTGCCAGCAGCTGCTCAACGGTGGAGGAAGCGGTTGCAACAAAGATTACATTACCATGAAATCCATTGGAAAGCCGAGGATAGAAATGTTTTCTCCCATCCACCGCGAACCCTTGCTTTGTTTCTTCATGCGGTTGAAGAACCGAGAGCTCGGTTCTAGCGCAGGTGATGGCGATCCAGAGGTGAGCTGCCAGCATTTCGAATCAAGCCGCGGTGTTTTCGCTCTCTAGCAGCGATCGAATGCTGCTGCTTATGAAGGAGAGGAATACTCACTCCACATAGCTGGAGTCAGGAGAGGACAGAGTCTCGGTCTGGAACTCCGGTGGGGTGGATTCTGGTGGAATTGCGTAGGCTTGCAGGAGTAGTGATCGATCCAGGTGTGGCAGATTGACGAGATGTTCCTGGCCGGAAGAAATCAGAGTGTTTTTCCAATCGATGGTGGCCGATATCCTGACGAAGCCACTAGGTATGGCGGCTGGATTGATAAGGACCCCTCCTTGATTACTAGGGAAATGGGCAGTGCTAGGGGCTCAGGAATGTCGTCCAAGATAAGTGAAAGATCCACCACCTAGTCAAAATGAGAAAGAGGCAGTGGGGTACTTTGTTCATATACCCTGACGAATTTCATCAAAGCTTTGTTACATTTCTGGGCCAAGATTTTGAACATTTCCTTGAAAGTAAAGAATTTGGTTTCTAATCAGGAATTTCTCATTCACAACCTTGTATAACTTCGACAGCCTAGAGAGATCTTAATCTTTCTTCATCAAATTTGATCTCAAATTTCACAAGGGGTTTTTCCTTGATTGATCCCCAAGTTATACCTTGCCATTAGGCTCATGAGCTTTTGGCAATCAAAGTTGTAAAGCTTGTAAGCCTTCATCTAATCATGGTACCCCAGGAAGAAGCATTTCCTTCTCTTGGGATCAAGTTTCTTGTGTACATCAGGAATGTGGGCATATGCCACACACCCAAAATTTTATGCGCTTCTCCCCAGACACATGAGAAAGTTCAGAGTGTTGAAGCATACAGCGTGTGTTCTCCTCAAGAGTTCTATTGGCGTGCTCGGCAACGCCATTTTGCTGAGGGCTATAAGTAGTAGACTATACCAGCATTCTGGAGAAACTGGTGGAATTCATTGGAGATGAATTCCCCTCCACCATCTATGCGATATACCCTGATCTTCTTGCTTGTGGCAGTCTCTGCCCAGGTTTTATAGGCTTTGAAGTGTATAGCAAACGTCACTTGGACAAGATCTAATTTCCCTAAAGCACCATCATCATGTGATCGTCGAGGAAATGGAAGTCTTGGCAGTTGGCATGCTTCATAAATCCCGAGTCGTCCAAAGGGAAGAGTGAAACCTTCAACCAAATTGAGGTGAGCAATAAAGTCGATGTCTTGCTCGTTCCACTAGATCACCATCTGTTCCAAAGATGGTGCAGCTAGTAGCGAAGAAGAAAGTGGAGAAGCCTGGGTCTGATGCTATGCCAACAGAAAGAACTATTTGACCAGCTACTGAACATCCTCTCGAGGCATTTGCGTGAGCTATCCGGAAGCTTGATGACCACTATTCCATGCCCAAAAACTATGAGGCCTCTCTTGTTCCCCATGTACACTTATTTCAAGGTCTTCAACGCTGTGTAAGTGTGGAAGGCAGACCTGAGAGCTGCGATGTGCATTGAAGTCCCTGAATCCATCTAGAGAGTTTTAGCTTCTAATTCCTGTGATGAGCAGATAGTCATCATCAACAGAGAATCAGGTTGAGAGGTCTTCGGCAACTTTCTTGAGGTGGCACACTCAACAATTATTATTCATATATATATATATATATATATATATATATATATATAAACTAATAATACTCATAAGTGGAAATTATATGTAAATAAATTGACATTTTTTCCATACTAATCTCAATAAGAGATTGAGAAAAATTTCTAGACATGGTATATCTGAATAAAACTTCAAAACATTTTCACCTCATATTAAAAGTACAGTTATTTTATTGTATTAAATACAAATTTTCAAATTATATTCCTTTAGCATAGAATAGATTTTTAATTCTTGACTCATTCTGAGGAACCTGGGCACTGTAGATCTGAATCTTTAAGAGATTTAGTTTTCCTTCAAAGTAAATGGTATTGTGTCAATACATTAGTATTGACTTCAAATGGGTTGAATTGCATTTGACATTATTTACTCAAAGTATGGTATTTCAAAGTTTTCTCCAAGATTCTCTCAAAATAATGTCCATCTCTTCCACACATTCCTAAATCTCAAACATAAAAGAAAAAGGGAAAAAAATTGTATCCAATAGCTTACCTTTACAATGTAGATCAATGCCTTTCCACTTGGTTCTTGCCAGCCGCTCCAACCAGGCTGATTGCCTGTTGGGACGGGGGCTCCATGAGCATGACGTTCTCGAGTGAGAAGTGCACGAGCTTCTCCATTGTGTCATTGCCACCCGGATATCACGATCGGCAAGCCATTTAACAGTTCGGCTGTTGGTGTGGAGCTGGAGCAAAAGCCACACAAAAACAAGGCATGGACCTGTGAAACTATGGGTGAAACTCCACTGCTGTGCAGAAGAAGTTCGAAAAATCCCAGCTCATCCTGCTGGAGCTGAGGATGAGTGATTGAACAATGCCCTCACAATCCTGAGAATTTGATGGACTCGGCTGCTGCTAAACCAACTCACCACGTGGAGATTCCATCCCGCTGCTAGTGATTCCATTTTTCTTCCTCACGTAATCCATGAGGAAATCGTGGCCGTTGGTTCTATGGTCCAATCCTGGCCGCTGGTTCAGTGGTCCGTACCGTGCCGGTTCAAGACTTTCGTATTTCACTTTTCATCCGTGCAGATGCCGTACTGTTTGTCGTTCTTTCGCGGGAGCGCCCGGTCTAGAGCGTCCTCTCAAATACCCGCGGGCAGGACGTGGGAAATGAAAGCTCTAATGCTGTCGGGTGGGCCCATTCCGCCATCATGTTCAAAAGGATTCTTTGGAATATTACATGCAAGGTATGAGCGCGTCGCGATTGATTTGAGCTC